AGCAAGCATGCGTGAGCGTATTTGATAGGAGTGAATGAAGACAAATGGTTTTTAATAATTGACGTTCTGTTGGAGTGTGAGCAAAGTAACATGAAGGGATTCAGGGAAACCGGCAGGCCGGACTTGAGTCCTGGAGATGGGAAGTACAGTGCCGGTACTCTGAAGGAGGGGTGTTAATGTTGCAGTTTTATAATTGTAGTGTAGAGCACCCCTCTGGTAAGACAGTGATGGAACGAATGATGATGAAAGTTTTTTTTTTTCTTTTTCGGGCCACCCTGCCTTGGTGGGAATCGGCCGATGTGTTAATAAAGAAAACATACAATATATACTTTTAAGTGTAAAGAGATGCCTTATTAAAATCATGAGAAATAGGTGTAACTATTGGGATCATACAGCACCTGGAGAATGGGAGGTGATTAAGTTTGACCAACATAAGGGTACCTCCAATTACTTGGACAAAGAGCCCTTCACGAGCATTAATGCCACCCCCTTCCCCTCTATCCCCGAAAAAAGTGTAGCAAATCAGAAGACAACGAAAAAAAAAAGAAAATAAGCTGTATTAACTCAACTATTTAATAGGAATACAGCATAAAAAAGTCAATATGGGTATTCTTTAACTGGGACTGGAAACTAAGATTTGACTGTCTCTGAGTGAACATGACTGAACAACACTTATGGGTACACATAACTGATCCATAAGTATGCGGCCAACTATGATTGGTCACGTTGACAAATATGATTGGTCTATACACATGTGCATATAAAAGCATTGATCCCCACATGTGGATACAATAGGATTGATCCCCATATGTGGATACAACAGGACTGATCCCCACATGTGGATACAGCAGGATTGATCCCCACAGGTGGATACAACAGGATTGATCCCCACAGGTGGATACAACAGGATTGATCCCCACAGGTGGATACAACAGGATTGATCCCCACATGTGGATACAACAGGATTGATCCCCACATGTGGATACAACAGGACTGATCCACACGCATATATGGATAGCTGTAGCTACCAATTTATCCATTAAGCATCTTAATGCACAAGTAATAATCAGCTCACAACTCCTTAACATTAACAAAAACATTTACTCTAAAGCATTTTCTCCCCAGATCCAAGATGTCAATCAATATGTTCAGTTACTACTGCAGAAGGAAAAAAAATAATCAGTAAACGTTGCAAATCATGCCGATTTAATGTTAATAATATATATCACACGATACTTCCTTACAAATACTGTTCAAACTATGGGTTTTCAAATTATTGTGTACGTTTGTACCTTGGTTTGAAATGTGGTCATTATCATTACAACTGTAATTATGTTTGTAAATATTCATTTGTATATACTTATTTGGGCTTGCGGATGGGGGTGAGCTGCAGCTCTTGGTACTGCCTGACGTGTAATAAATGTAATATCTCTTATTACATTCACGAGGATGTGCTAAATCTGTAGGGGTCATGCAGCGCCTGGGTAATGGGAGGCGACTGGGTTTGATCCAGGAAATTTTCCTGATCAAGAGCCCTTCACCAGCCTCATGAAACTCCTTTTTAAGTGACACTACTATGCATACCCTTCCCTTACTTGCATCAACTTCACTGCCTGCAGGACCCTTATAGGCTTAGTGCTTTTCCGTGAATATAACAATGCGAGTCTTGTGGGTGAGTCAGTGTGTCCGCTACCTCAGTCTTATCACCCGGAACCATGATAGAGAACAGGTGTTATTACAACACGTGTGGTGGTCGCTCCACTGTTGCCGCCTACAGCACAAGTGCATGAAAGAAGGTTGAGTGGACTTCACATTCCTAAACTTTTCAACAGCCTCCCACCATGCATAAGGGGAATTACCAATAGGCCCCTGACTGCCTTCAAGAGGGAGCTGGACAGATACTGACGGTGCTAAACATAAAAGGTTACTCAACGAACTAAAGAAGCAGAACAGGAATAGCACTAGCACACACAAATGAATACTTCAACATCATTAAAAGTTTTTATAAAAGATAAAGTTTAAGATGTGAGGGTAACAAACTGCGCCTCATAACTTTCCAAAAGTATGTTAATGATTTGACAGTATATAAAACTCAACAAGTAAAAAATTACAGTTATTACAGATTTACGAAACTAACATTATGTTAACTTAGAGAGTTATGTCCACATTGTGAAGTGACCGCTAGGGTCCTAACCCCCCCAAGAGCCAAGTAACACCATGGAGTTGAATTTCTTGAGTCCGCACAGCCGGGTCGCTATATTTTATGCTCTCCAGTCTCGTCCGAGAGGTTATAGGGTTAAATCCATTACTGAGAGAGTTAAGTTTCACCACGTAAAAAAAAAAAAGTTCTCACAATAAGCAAACGTTGTGTTAATACCCGTGGTCCTGGACTATTTCCACACCTTACGAGATGAGAAACACTGCCGGAACAAGTGGATGTATAAGTTTTCAAGAGGAAACTCGTCAAGTACCTCAGCCAAATGCTGGATCACCTAGACTACGATACATATGCAAGCCAGCGGGCCGCCAGCACCAACAGCCTGACTGACTAGGCAAGCACCAGAGAAGCCCGGCCTAGGGCCGGGATCAGGAAAACTCTTGAAACCCATCAAAGGTATATTAAAGGACAAAAGAATATGATCAAGGCATACAAAATATTCCAGGGTACAGATAAGGTGGATAAGGATTGGCTACATCGGAAATGAAAAA